CACACACACACACACACACACACACACACACACACACACACACACACACACACATATATATATGTATATATATTAACATGCAAGTCTACCCTCACCTGCGCAGCAGATGCACAGGCGGTATAGCATCCAATCGGGAGCGCAGGGTGTGGTATGCTTGGCTCTGTGGCAGTAGCATGAGCAGTCCATACAGTGACTTGACTAGGTAAGGGTATCCGTCAGGCTCCAGCAGATGCAGCCGTAGAACTGTAGTACAAGTGCAGGTTGATCCGGTTGAGTGGTTTGTGTAGTGGGTCGATGCAAACTCTGATACGTATGATGTGTGTGGGGTGCACATCAGAGGGCATCCCAAAAGATATAACTAAAACTAGTTGAGAACACAGCATACATGTTGATTCTGAAAATAGATTTGTTAGCATGGACCTTGCTCGTCGGCGATGACGGGACAAATAGGTCCATTCACCGCGATCGAGGGCCGAGACCTAAACCCTAAAAAACCCAAGACTACAAAGTCCAAGGGGACTTGATACTTCTCTATGGCATTTTGTCCTAAGCCACACAGTGCACCCACAACACAACTTACACGTGAACACGGGCGATTCTAACAGTTTGACTAGACGATCAATCTCCATTAGCAGTCCCACGGAGACCTCCATCTCACCACTGGAATAAGGACCGCAATGAAGCCATTAGACAGCGACAGCGACTGCGCTTGTGACCTCAAAGGCAGTGTAAACCTTTTGTATGATTGATTTAGCTGCGAGATCTATTCCATGTGCTTGCGAGTATGTGGTGGGGGACTATGTACGTGTACGTACGTGTTTACGCACGTCTAGGAGTGTGTGATAGGTGATGTGATACGTTCATGTACACATACTTGTCTATTTAGGTAAGTCTGTGAGTGTGTGTCGGGTGATTTGGAACGTATATGTACGTATACTTTGTCCGTGGCATATGTATGTGCAATGTGCTAGTATAGACGATGTACTTTAGATTCATTATGCGAGTGCAAACGCGTCCGCTAATAAAACTAGACCAATACTTATCTAGCAGACGAACAGACACGTACGTACATACACAAGTGTACAAAGAACATGTACACATACATTTTCATACATACGTATGATAATATATACACATATAGATGCATGTAACATACACTTGTAACATACACACGCATGATATAATATACACATAAAGATGCATGCACCACACACTTGTAACATACATGCGTATGATATGATATGCACATATAGATGCCTGTACTTACAATACTGGTAGCAGTGTACTGGCGTGATGGTATGTGCTGGACAGAAGACTCAGAGACATCAGCGCCACTGGATTGTGCGCCCACGTTAAGTGAAGAGTGATGTAGAACTTCTGGTTATCCTGTGAAGCATATACGAGGATAAAGGGTAGCGCTTCGGGTTAATTTGTGATGTATGAGTAATATATATATATATATATATATATATAATAATAAATAATATATATATATATATATATATAATAAATAATAATAATAATAATAATAATAATAATA